GAATTTGTTGCCTTGCGAGCTTAGAGGATGGAAAATGGGAGCCGGGGGAAGGGAAGGGAAAGTGACAGGTGGCGGCGCCCACCTGAGCCACATACATCACTCGGAACCCCCGGCCCATGTTTAGTAGACAGTTTTATTTACGCTGATGGCCATAAATATTTGAATTACAATATAATATTTAAGCCCAAAGCCAGCTTCGTTTCCCGAACTAGGGGTGAAAGATTTATGGCTGCCGCAAATCTACGCCAGCCACTTAATGCATTTTAATTTATTAAGCTGTCAATCTGCCGGGGCGGAACATCCGCATCCGCCTGTTCATCAGCACGACACCTGTGTGTGCGGATGGGATTTGGCCAGCGAAGAGTTATGCTATTTCTCTTGGACACGGACGGAATTTAAGTTAACTGCATTAACCGAACAGCGAATAGCCACAAGTTGCTTTTCGGGGAAGAAATCACACAGAAAGAAAAAAATGTTCAATCAATAACAGTCATCTTGATTTACGGATATTTTAATTTTTCGTATCTTTGTGACTCATCCCACTACGGAAACTCTAAGAAATCGAAAAGCTATCATGTATAATATTGTTTTCCATTTTCAAAAAAATCAAATCCATATACTGCTACTTAGTTCTTAGTTAAATTATATATAAAATCATTAATTTAATCCCCAGTTTTTCTTTGTGTATAGGGGGGAATCGGTTGGGAGCTCGATGTCGTTGCTTGCCAGTCACTTGTCGCCTGTCACCCGTCAGTCTTCAGGTCTCTAGTCTCCATGTCGTCGGTCGCTGGAAGTCGAGTGCCAAATGACCAATTTCAATTAGAGATGCAGAGCCGGAACATCTGAGCTTACAACAATACACACTGCGATCCACATGCACAGTTTAATATCCTTGGGGGACTACACAGAGAAAGGGAATCGCAATCGTCAATAAACCCATTTGCAAAACTAAAATCAATTTACGTACATCAGAATTGTTAATAAAATTTAACATCTATATTTAAATTTGTCCAACCATTATATAGATTTAGTTTGATAAAAACTTAATTTACTGCTTGCTCTAAATGCTATCTTAATAGCTTTCAATAAAGGATAATAATAATGATAAAGCGAACCTGTTTAAATTGCCTGTTTTCAATTCCTTGTTTGTAGTAGTAAAAGAGTATTATCAAGAATTTTCTCAGTGCAGCCACACACTCAACAACCTGCTGGCTGTTTAAATATGAGCAACAGATTAAAACTTAATTTAAAGTTGACCCAGCCGGGTTTCGTGTTTCCACTTCAAGTTTAATTAATATGTTAAGCCAGTAAAAGCCGCATCGGTAAACTAACCCCATCAGCCGGCTTTCGTGCCCTGTGTTTGTTTTTTGTTTTCCCCCAGAAACCCTTCCCCCAAAATGCTTAGGCAAACAAAAGGTTTACGGGTGGTATTCAAGTCTACACCCAAAACACAGAAGATAAAGCATCTTGCACGATGGCTTACATGTGTAGCTGAAACTCAAGGTGAATACCAATTGTCTGCCAGTATTTTTGGCCATTGTACTTACATTTCATCTGCGTGTGCAGTGTTAATCCGCAAAAATCGGTAGAGTTGCGGCTGCCATATCCAGATATATACGGTTATATACAGCAATGGCTTTGGTTCCACGCATTGTTCTAATGCGTGCTTAAAGCGCATTTCAGCATTTCAAACTCGTCTTCATGCATGAGTGCCCACAGTTGTGGTCACATAAATACTGACAAATCCAAGTTAACATCTCCGTGACGCACATTTCAGTTGAATAATTATTATTTGTTAATTTACTAACTTGTGCAAAAATGTAGGCTGTACATCTCGTTAAAATTATAAGGATCCATGTACATTAGGTCCCCGATTGCGAATAATAAGTAAAAGTTTGCAACCGATTTTTTAAAAAAAAATTTATGAGCCGGGTTTTTGCATAATGGTTTTTACCAAGAAATCCTTTTTGTCGCCAACTTTGACTTAACTATTCGTAATAGGGGCCTAAAATACATAGATTCAGAAAATTTTAAAAATGATGGGAGGTCGCAGCTTATCACAAATATTTAAAAGACATTAAATATAAACAGCCCAACCAAAAAAAGAACTCGAAAAATTTTTTTGAAATACAAATTAGTAGGGACAAGTATAAGGTAATAAAATAAAAGAGAAAGACTAAATATGATTTAGAGAAGGATTTGAATAACATTTTTGTTAACATCTTATACATCAAAAGGTACATTTTTTTACAAAATAGTTCAAAATTTGAAAGTCTGCTTTCGCATTAAATCTACAAAATAATTAACGTTGATAAATGTGACCACTGCTGTGGCTTTCGGATGCAACTGCAGCGCCCAAATACAGGAACAAAGCACAAAGCGGCACTCGACAAATGCGCTGTAATTTGAGGCGACAAGTATGCAACGCAAATTTTAAATGCATTTCACGCACTGCGGCTGACGTACCACTCCTTTCCCCCTCAAATGATTCCCTCCGTATTCCCCACTAATTCTGGTAAATCCATGAAAAGTCCGCCATTTCTGTCACGCCCAAAAGTGTCGTCAAGTGATGGCTGTCGCATCCAACCAGGGCGCACTGTGGCACACACAAAAAATACACATTTGCATATTTCGAAAGGTTTTGATTGTTAATAATTTTAAATCAAGATAACCACAAAATATGGCGTAATAGACAAAAGCTTACACTCGAAAAATGTTACTTTTTAGGAAGTATAGGAAACGTTTTTATGAAGGAAACATCTTAAAAAAACTGTTTTTTTTTTTAATATAGAAATTACTTTGTACATTTGAGACAAACAATTTTTTCAGTGAGGAGCACCTTCTAACCCAACCACGAGTTCAAATCCCACTGCATTTTTTCTGTGTAGATAGGATTCGGCTTGAAGTTGGGTCAGAGTTTGAGTATAACGATAGTGCACTCGAATGAATTTACAAAGCACGCAGATTTCAATTAAACAGCCACGCACGAGTGTCCTTTATTTCACCGTTTTTATGACCTCGCTTATCGCGCAAAATGGAGCAGCAATTAGAGCCGAGTGATTTATCTAATTAGAGGAAGGGAAGTCCCTAAAATGGACAGGAGACCACGCGACCTCTTTATAAGTAAAATCAAAAAATTGGCAAACATTTTACCTGACTCCCACCAAAGTATCTAGACACGCACACGCATTGAATATATAAAACTTTTTCTATTATCCTAATGAAATTCAATTTAATTATTTATGGTTTGAATCCATTTTGCTATAAAAGGAAAATTCAAAGAAATAATAGTGCTGAATTATATTTTTTGATTAAATTTTCTCATTTTTAAATAATAGAATAAATAACTTTTTGTTAAAAGAAAACGTCTCTTAAAGAATCCTCCATCTTTGACTATTTTGTTTAAGACAAACGAAAATCTCTTGGGGTTGTTAAATAAAATAACTTAGAATTCTGAAAAGTATGCAAAACTTTGAGAATTTAAGACTGATTTGCATACCAGTCGCACCACAAAAAGTCAACATTTACAAGTTCTTCACACCATGTGCACGAGCATAAGAATATTAAAATCGCATTTTGCTTGAGGTGCTCGCTTTATAAAGCCATTAGGAACTATCCGGGGGACGACGTCAGGGGAGATTTTGTGAAAAGTCCGCATGTGTCGGCCGGCATTTTAACACTTTAATCATTGAAATGCAAATTCCGAGCCCAGTTTTAGCAAGACATGCGTCAGGCAGTAGCACATGTATGTTAACACGGCCACCGAATGGAACGCCCCTGAATTCTGGAGAGGACAGCTCAGGATTCTGGCTGGGATTTAGCATATTTGAGGCCCAATCTACACCAAAAAAAAAAGGGTATGATATGATAGGATGGCCAATTGGCTTATTTTTCTTTATAGGAATTTTAACCTGCCCTTTTGCAACCGAAAAGAGATGAACTATGCCATTTGCAAAGAATTTTTAGAAGTTAGAGAGAAAGGGAAATCCATAAAGTTGTGATATTGTTCTCGAATTAAAACATATGATATTAAAATTAAGCTGTTTCTTACTGTGCAGGGTAGCGCATTTAGAATTCAGCCTACTTCACAACTGAGTTCCTTTTCGGCTCCCAAAATAATGAAAATGCAGGACCCGACGAACGAATAAATTAACCTGAATCGCATTTATATTCGAAAGTAGTGGCACGATGATGCTCAAACCTGAGTTCCGCGGAATGCTTCCTTTATTGCACGTAAATAAAGTCATAAAGTCATCATTACAACCGCGCCAACAAGGAGCACGATAAAGGAGCACAAAGGACAAACTTTTGTGACTGCGATAAAAATTCGCAAATGTGCACAAATTACTCAAAACATATTAAAAATGCGTCCCCGCCTCAACAATTTGCGCAAAACGTTGCACAAATTAAAAACCCTTCGAAAGAGCAGAGATAAAAGGAAATTCCATTGTGGCAAGTTTTGTCGCCGACCTGAAGTTGCGATGTGGGAAAATGCAGTACAACTTTTCACAACTAAAAACCATTGAGTGTTACAAGATGGCAGGAAGTTTCTTTTGGCGATACGGCATGTGAAAGTTTGGTAATTCAGTTGGCAAAGTCGTTTTTAATTTTGACGATGAATTGGCACTACTGGAGGATATAATTCTTCTGCTAAAAATTAGTTTAAAATTGTTTTAAGTAACACCAATTTACTGTTCGGTAATTTAAAATACCGAAAACTAAACTCAAATTAATTAATATTCTTAGAATCTATTAGAAGACCGGCATCAAAACGAAAAAATTTTAATGCAGATTATTGGAGAATGGAACCACAAACTGTATAAGGTTTTACACTTGAAATCCGATTGGTCAAGTTAAAAGCCAGTTTTGGGTCACCTTTTCTTAAAATCGTTTTAACGATTGAAGACTTTCGAATCAACAGGATGTCGCTGCAGCAAAGAGTATGAATACCCTATATGAGGGTTGTTTTGATCAATTTGGTATTCTGAAGCTAGCTGCAACTGGTCCTATATGTTTTTGAGTCTCCAAGTCTTGTTTTATTAGAATCAGCGAAAATATGGAGGACGACACAGAATACGCGTTTAAACAACACGAAGCTATTATTCCGCAGGTCATTGAGGCCTACGATGAAGCCATTCAACAGATCTTTGCGGACTTGAGGTGGGACGTAGGGATTCACCCAGAAAGTGAATTTATCTAAACAAGTGTTCAGTTCCTCAGATCTGGATGTCTGTGCTGCTATCCTGGAGGAAAACGAGGATTCTTGCTTGGACACCACGCAGATAATAAATAGCACCCGTAGGCTCATGACCAAGATCGTCCTTGATGTAAATCAATGTTTCTTCGCCGGCAGCGATGTAAGGACTAAGTTGACCACTTTGGAGATGCTCAAGGAGCAGTTTTCCAATCACGAAGGCAAGGATTGGTTGGTATTATGTGACTTAGCATGTGAACTAGTAAACACTAACGTTTTTAATCAAACCCTCAGGAACTTCCACAGCGTGTCCCCTGAAGAACTCACTCGTCCGTTGCGCATGCACAGTTTGGATCTGAGCATTCGTTTTATCGAGCGTCAGCTGAAAGTGCAGGAAATGGAACTTAAGGTATTAATTTCCTCCGCTTTTTTATATCTGAGATTATATTTAGGTATTCCAAAGCGGCCAGTTCTTAAAAGACACCGGTATGTTTTATATTCAAGTCAAACGAGCTTTAATATCTTTTTCAGATTGCTATTGGCAATAGTAAAGCGAATCGACAGATTATACGAGATGTCCAAAGCGACCGTGTGAAATTGGGTGTCATGATACAAGAGCAGATGGCTGGGTATCAAGAAATTAAGCCACAATTAATCGAGATAGAGCGGTCCATAAATGACTCGCATTTGCCGTCCGAGATGTAATTTAATACTTAAAATGAGATTATATATGTTATCCCTATCAATAAATGGAAAATATTATGTTTTGATTTAAATTAATGTTATGATTTGAGTGGGAAACTAAATAAAAACAAAATGTAATTATTATCAACTAACAACTTTTTCAAACTTGCCGCCAAATAGGCAGCATTTTCCGATGGGCGTTTTCTAGCACTTTATTTCACAGCTGATTTCCTCGCCGGCAAATGAAATAAAAACATTGAATAATCCAAAACCCAGAGAATGCTGAAGATATCCGTGGTGCTGCGGGTGCAGTCCACCCAAAGGAGCGCATCCTTAGCGACAGCTGCGGCGGTCAAGACCAAACCGAAGCTCACGAATACGAAGCCCAAAAAGGAGCAGCCCAAAAAGCAAAAGGAGCAGCCCCTAATCTCCTGCAGAAGAAGCCAGTTCAATTTAACGGAGCACGAGAAACCAGATGCCAAGTTCGGAAGCCTTTCACTGGCCTCCAAAGGATGGTTGCACAACAAATCTAAGGGGGATTACTTTATCCTGAATGCCAGCGTTGCAGGGCAGGAACTCCACGATGAAATGCAGCCAGTCGATGGATTTTTAAACAGCTCAGGGCTCCAGATTCATCCGCAATTGCTAGACAATCTGCAAGGAGAACTAGGCATCAAACTTCTGACGGGCATCCAAAAGCAGGGAATCCCCATTGTCCACGGAAAGGAACACTGCCTGATTGCCGCTGAAACTGGATGCGGAAAGACCATAACCTATCTACTGCCCATCCTGGATAAGCTTCTCCAAAGGGAGGCTCCCGAGCGCAAACTCAACACTCCTCGAGCTCTGATCCTCACTCCAGGAAGAGAGCTGGCTACCCAGATAGCAGGAGTCGCGACAAAGCTTACCCAGGGCACCAATCTCAATGTGCAATCTTTACTTGGAGGCAACACCAAGCATCTTATGATGAGCCCGCAGTTCGAGGAGGTGGACATACTAGTCGCCACTCTGGGAGCACTTAGCAAACTGGTCACCACTGGCATCTTTCGCATGGAGCATGTCCGTCACCTGGTTCTAGACGAAGCGGATACCCTGCTAGACGACACATTTACGGATAAGCTGACCTACTTCCTGAGGAGATTTCCCGTGAGTCTTAGTTAAGGTTCCATTAAAAGAGTTATTAACTTCAACTTGTTCTTTGACAGTTCCATTTGGTGCAGAAAGACGACACTGGCACTCAGCTTATCCTGGCCTCCGCCACCATGCCTACGAACACCAGGGAGATTCTGCACAAAGTCATCGATGTGGACACTATCCGGGAAGTGGTCAGTCCACACCTCCACCACCTGATGCCCCATGTGACCCAGAAGTTCCTGCGGATGTCTAAGGCCGATCGTCCAGCCACCCTCCTGTCGCTTGTAAAACAGGATCTTTCCAAGCGGCGACCATTGATTGTGTTTAGCAACAAATCCACGACCAGTGACTATGTCTCCATATTCTTGAACAACAGCGGAGTGAACTGCCTAAACCTCAATGGAGATATGCTGATGAAGATCAGATTTGGCCGCTTTGAGCAGTTTCAAAATGGTCACTGCGACGTCCTCTCCACCACAGATGTGGGAAGTCGTGGTCTGGACACCACCAGAGCTCGGCATGTGATCAACTTTGACTTCCCTCTCCATGTGTCCGATTACATCCATCGATGTGGCCGGATCGGGCGAGTGGGCAACTTGGATAAGGCGCTGGTCACCAACTTGATCTCCTCGCGACGCGAAATCGACGTCGTTCAGAGGATTGAGCACGCCGCTAGAACGGGTGGTCTACTGCCAAATGTGAATGCCAACATCCGAAACATCATCAACAAGCGAATTATGGCAGAGATGAAGGCGGCAGGAGTTCCAGTTCCGGTTTTAGGGGCAGGAAATGGTCATCAAGGACAGGAGGAGGCTTTTTAGACTTGTGTTTTTTAAGTATTTCGAGTAAATAGTTGTTTTCATTACGATAAACAACTGTGCTTCTTTTACGGATCAATGGGTTTTGTTATTTTTCATCACTAAATGACCTATTCCCAACATTTTTTTAGATCAATTAAATCTAACTGGGTCGTTTCTTAAGTAAATCGTGTAAATTTAAAATCGGAAATTCGGAAGACCACAAAGAAAATCTAAAGGCTACTCACCACAGTACATCGATGATTAAAGTAAAAGTATAGTTTTATTGAGATCCCCAGGTCTCCTTCTGGATCGCCCAGAAGGTAAATTGATACTCCTTCACAACCCGGTTCAGATCCTCAGGTAGTGATAGCCGCTGATGGGCGGATATCTTCTAACGTTCGTCAACGGCTTAAAAAGCTTTCGCTTGGCGATGAGAATATCGGAGCTGGCACCACCACCTGCACCACCGTTCGCTGTGGATGAGGGCGAGTCCACAGAATGCGGAACATTGGAAACCTTCGGCTTGAGCAGCATCGGTCGGCAGCCGGCAAACTTAAAGCGGATGTTGCCCGCGCAATTGATTTGCAGATTTGGTGGATGGAGGTCGGGGAATGCCTCGCCAAGAGTGGGCTTTGGCTTGAGCGCTTTGCTAGGATCATCACCATGACACATGGCCGCAGCGAGAGTGCTCCATTCCAGTCTACGCACTCCTGGTAATGATTCTATTCTATAAGCCGGACGTTTGACTCGCACGTACCGCCTGGTGACCATCTTTTCGTAGGCTCCTGCAATACTTGCCAGTTACTAAGAAGTTTTTCAAAGATTTACAGGGTAAACCTTACTTGCATAGTGCACCAGGAAAGGTTGCAAAGCAGCACCGCAACCATGCTCCAGCCACTCGTACAGATATATGTCATCCTGGCCGCCGAGGAAGATGGCAGCCGGGGTCATATCCTGCCACAAGCTATCCGGGATTTCCTCGACGCGTAGTTTGTAGATGTAGGGGATAAACTCCCGAAAGGCATACTCCCCCAAGGCGATTAGTCCACGTACTGCTCTGCTGATGTACTTGAAGTCTAGTTTACGGAATCCAAAAATTAAACTTTGAACTAATAGCTGGTTTATAACTTTTACCCCTCTCACTACAAATATTGCGACCATCGAAGAACCTCGCCAAGCGCCGTTTGATCAGGAAGAGGCACTCTGCTTGCATATAACCACTCTGGGAGGCCAACTGTCCCATAGTTTCGCAAAGTTCATCCACCAGGCCGTTGCCTACTGGACTGGCAAAATAGGTGGACAGGTGTTCGGTCTCCGGTTGAGGATTCCGCTCTTCCTCCTCCGTTTGCAGCCTGTATATAGTGTGTTCCTGGGTACTTTCGCTGGGAAACATCTGAGGATCTTGTTCGGGCTTTTCTGCCTCCACGGGAATGGGATTATCAGGATTGGGCAACGGTTCTGGCTCAATCTTAAGCTGCTCTTCAAATTCCATTTTGATGGTGGTCTGTTCCGCGGGATCTGGACCCTCGGGTGGCGCCTTGATGGTCTCGTAGGGCGCCATCAGTTGGCTGACGAGCACCTCGGCCAGGTTAAAATACTCCGCCCGGCAGGCATTGTGATTGGCCGAGGAGTTAAAGTTGCAAGCACGAAGCAATCGCCAGCATCGTTGGCTCAACTGATCCTGCTGCTTGAAGGCCAGCAGCTGGACCATCTTGCTTACAATCACCCGGTAAATGGAGCCCATCAGGGGCGTTTGGAAGGCATGGCAGATGGCAGCCGTCTGGGACTTGGAGTCGGCAAAAAGAGCAGCAGTAACTAGGCTCTGAACACAATGCCTCAACTGATTCGTGTGCTTATCTTCCACGGGGCAGATGCTATGAAAATCCGCATCATCGGGTGCGAGGAGATTGATTTCCTTTTGAAACTCGGCGCTCAGTTCAAAGATCTTGTCCGAGTGGAAGTAAAAACTGCCGTCGTAGTCGATGCGATCCCAATCGCTGTCCATTGCCCCCAGCATAGGCGGCACATCGGCATCCTTGAGCACCTCATTTACCAGATCGTAGGTAACAACTCCACCCGAATGGCGGGAATATATCTTGACATTCTAAGGGAAATCAAGGATGTTTAGAGAGCCAAAAAAGTTTGTGTTATGTTGGGCATACATTAATCAGTTCCCAGATTTTGTAGGAGGCATCCTCCGCCAGCTTGGCGCACACATCTTGGGACAGTTCTACATCCGTTTGATCATGCTGCTCCCAAAATATTTTTATGCTCCGGGGATCGAAGCCGGCATAGCTTTTCTGATGGCCCTTAAATAAAGAGGAATATTACCAAGGCAGACCTGGATTTTGGGTATTCTCTCACCATTCGACTGGAGTTCCCAGAGGCCTCCGCTCCTGCGATGCCACCTTGGATTCCATGGCCACCACCTCCTGCTACCGCAAAGGAAGCATCAAATAGATTGTAGTTACCCAGACTCGATGTTGGCGTCGTGGGCGTTGTCACCATGTTAAGGTGGGTGGGCGTGGCCGGCAGGCTGCCCACAGCCACGCCCCCGGCTACTGCTGATGCAGAAGTGCCAGATGCGGATGTGGATATGGAATTCTTTCCAGACAACTCCAATTTCGCGGACTTGGAGCGCGACTTTGTGGACTTTTTGCTAACCTTGTTGTGCGTAGACTTGTTCACCTCGTCGGGATTACCGGCGCCCGAGGTTTTCATTGTCTCAATTATGTCTTATTTATTTGTTTTAACCGGCTAGTAAATGTAAATATACGTTCAAGCGGCACCAAAAAGCAAAACAAATTTCGCAAGATTACCAGCCAGTGTTGTGAAACTCTAGTTTTTACTGTTGGTTCCCCGATGCCCTGCTGACTCGTCTTTTCAAGCCAAAAAAATGCATCTAGCTCTTTTTTCGCTGATAAGTACTGATAAGAAATTGCTTTCCACGCTTCACAACACAGTTCAAACAATTGTTTTTATTTTATTTACCCTTAGTTACTTTAATGAATTAAAATACCCAAAACAATGGCAGAAGCCGCAAATTTGCGCCAGAATCTTCAAAATGTACCGTCGATCTTTGAAATCTCAGCGGCGGAGACGCTGGACAACCTGATTTACCCGGCGCTGAGCAAGATCTTCGACTACTTTGGATTGCGGCTGGACTTTAAACTTTGGGGAAGTTTACGAATTCAAGAGGAGCTATCGCCACTTCTAACGTGGTTGCTACAGTACTTGTATCTTCGGAAAAGGGCCTCCTCCTTTGGGGAGAGCTTCTACGGATTGCAAAGAACGGTTACGCAAACTGGGGATTTGCTGAACCGCCGTCAGCAGTTTGCATCCGCCACATTGTTGACCTTTATTCCATACCTAGAACGGAAGCTAAGGAGCAGGATTACCCACCATCAGGACACGAGTCCCTGGGAGCAGCGTCTACTCAGTGCCTTTCATGCATTCCATGCCGCCAAAGCGGTCCACACATTCCTTTACCTTATAAAATACGCTTCGAGTCACTCGCCCATCTTCAGATCTTTGGGTCTGACCCTGCGCTACCCTAGTGAACCCCCTAAGGAAGATCAATGGACCTATCTCGTCCTCAAAATGCTGGAGGTTTTGGCCTTTTTCCTGCAGTTCGTACAGTGGTGGTACTCTACGGATCAGCGACGCAAGGTCGGAGGCACTCTGCTCAATCCGGAGGCCATGCCAAGGAAAGAGCTGCCCAAGGAAGTGCAAAAGACTCTTCCCAAACGAGGAGAGTGCCCAGTTTGCTTGCTGTCCATCCAGACACCCACTGCCTGCTCCGTCTCCGGCTACGTTTTCTGCTGGAAGTGCATCCTAAGCCACATGAAGGAGCATGGAAGTTGCCCGGTTACCCATTATCCCATTAGCCTGGATGATCTAGTTCGCATCTACGAAACCTAACCTTAAGTATTTTGTTATCTTTTATACGATTTTGTTAATACATTTAATAAGAAAATGGAAATGGTCTAGATTTCACTAAGGAAGACGCCCATTCTCTGATCGTAGCATATATAGACGTGGTGGAAGTCGAAGTAGGCCAGGCACAGATAAAAACAGAAGCACTCGCAGGAGATAAACTCGCCAATGGCAAATATTGAGTAAGCTGCAGGATATACAGGAATTAAATCTATGAATTTCTGCCTCCATCCGTTCTACTCACCTAAGGGAAGGCATAACTTCTGGTGGACATAGTAAAATAACCACATTATCACCACCGAGGCAAAGTAGAAGAAAACCAGTTTGCTTTTTAGCTCAATGGACAGCTCCTCATGCAGCTGCCAGTCCCTATCACACACATAATACTTGCAGCACACAAAGGATCCCGCCATATAGATGGCACACGATATAAACAGGGATAAAGCTATGGCAATGTGCAGCACCGAGTCGCCATCCACTTGGGCAAAGGTTCCCCACAGCAGCATACTAGAACTATTCACCGCTAGAAATATAGACATCAGGCAGCCGAAACTCCGGACCGGCTTGGGCAAAGTCCTCCGGTAAAAACGGAACTGCAACCAGGCACTGGCAATCAAAAAGGGAAACTCCATCCAGCATGCCCAAGCCCAAATAGTGTGCTGCGATTTGGCAGCCGCTGATGTGGAGGGGAAAAAATTGAAGGCTTGGCAGGACGTATACGTGGTCGCCTCAAAGTCGGTAGTAATGGCCATCACCAGGTTGTAGGCCATGCAAACGGGCACCTGCAACAGACCAAGAGCCAGAAAAGGACCCACTGGAATACGGAAGTGACACACAGGCCGCAAATCCTTCATGGAACTGGGCAAAAGCTTGAGTTTATCCTCAACAAAGGTATTCATTTTGGCACAAATAAATCCACAAAAATAATGTCTGTTCTTTTGGGGACCTAATTCCTTATCCTTATCTCACTTAACCCGAAAAAACAGATTCTTGCAAATTGACACATTTTCCAATGATATCTTTGTTCAAAGTCAACAAGATTCTATGACTTGTTTTGATTCAAGCTCTGCGGACAAAAAATGTATGTCACTCGCCCACAGGTAGAAATTTCAGCTCAAAAATCATGTAATAAATTTCAAAATATTGCATATTATCATTAAGAAATTTGTTAAGACAATTTAATTAAAACGTTGCTAATTTATCGTTTACCAAAATTAAAATAAATACAATTTTATGCTTAGGAAATATTATAACCAAAAAGCCAATTTAAAATTGCGTGTGTATAAAAAGAATATAATTTAAGCATTATCCTAACTAAAAGCACGTGTATAAATAATGCATTACATAAAGATGGAACTCGGTTCGAATTTAACTAAATCAATCAGAAACTTTTTAAGCTTACAATAAGCCTTAACTAGAAGCGTGTGTATGCATCAGATCATGTCATACTGAATAATTTCCTGTAGGAGTCCCCCGGAAGCAGTTTCCTTTGGTAAAATTAAGTAAACTTTGAGCTTAAGCTAATACCGCGTATGTACAGAATACTCAAGGACGAGGGGCTGGATGTTATGGCGGCTTTGGAATTGACCTTCCAATTGATCTATAATTGTGATAGGTAAAGGCCGTGCTTGGCATCGCACACCACGTTGAGGGCGTAAAAGTCCCAGTAAGATGTCATGTGAAAACCCATGTTGGTCAGCACCACGATGTACTCGAACAAGGCAAAAAAGGTGTAGACTGTGGGAATTGAAGTTTAGAGACAGGCAGAGGAATATGTCGATATTATGAGTGGAATCATTCTCTTTGGTCATGACAAACTCGAACTTGATTCCACTCTTAGAACCCTCAACTTACCTCCCGCCTCGCAATGGGAATTGTGCCTGACGAAGCAGTATCCAGCCAATCCAAAGGCCACCACATTCACCAAAAACAGGTTCCTCTTGTATCTCAGCGACTTTTCTTCGTGCGGCAGGAGCACGGTTTTTCGGACATTCCTATTCAGCAGATAGGAGACCAGCATATAGCACTCGGAACAGGCAATAAACACTACAAAGGCGTTTCTATGCATTTCATAGTGATCCGCTGAGGTCCAAAAAGAGAGGCAGAAAAGAGCCAAGTCCTCAATGACATTCAGGAAGCAGGCCAGGATTCCTAGCAATCTCCGGCTCCTTCGGATATGTTCCCGGTAGTGCTCCAAATAAATCTTGGCCACCGCCAAACGGAGTGGTAAATGCAAGAAGATGGCCAATCTCCAAACGGTTTTTTGGGGCTCATAGTTCCCAATGGCCGCGGAAACGGAGGGCAGATAGTTGGTCACATCGCAGTGGGTGTAGGTGCTTCTCACGAAGTCAAAGGTAAGCGACCATATCACACAGAAGAAGAATCCTCCAAGGGGCAGACTCAGAGCCACCAGTGCCAGTCTTGCGAAGGGAAGCCGGAAAAAGACGCTTTTGGGATCACTAAAACGCTCGTATGTGGGCAGCATTTCACCTTTGGAGTGGGTGGACGTCGGGGGATGTTGGTAAGGTCGTTCTTTAGCGGCTCACGCTCCACATTTTTCAGTTCCTCGCTCCTAAACAGGCTAATCTCGGACTTATTCGCGGACTTTTCTGCTTACGTTGTAAACATTGCAAAAGAAGTTGTATACAAGTGATCGATAAGCAGCTGGCTATCGACCGATGGCGAGGGTGGTTAACAATCGAATTTCCCTTAATTCAGTCTTATAAATAAAACAAATTATAATTGTGGCTTCTGTATGAGCTAGTCCAGAATGTAAATAAACAGATTATAAATCAACACTAACGGGGCGTATACTTAATTTTAACGCAACAATTTAACAGCCAACAGTGCTGCCCAAAATCAGATATTGGATATTGGCCAGAACTGTTGGCCTTATTATATGGCTTTCAAGTTAATTATTCGCATCAGTATTTAAAACATGTTTGAGAAGATGGCAGTAAAATATTTTTTCCGATTAAAGTCTGTCTTAATAAATACTGTTTTAGGACATACTATGTTTATATGAGTCACTTAATTGCAAATAAATAAATTTACAGGTAAGATAGATAAACCAAGATTTGGCTATAAAATAGCTAGAAGTCCAGCCTAGCCACTGCCACCCGGCTACCTCTAGATATCGATAAGTTTTCGCCGGCTGCCTGCCATAACTAGCAGCACTAAACAAAACAGCACGCGCAGAAATAGACAAACTGCATTGTTTACCAGATTCCAAAGTATCCGAGAAAACTTGAATCCCGCCGAGATGGACATCCTACTGGCCAACGTGAGCGGGCTGCAGTTCAAGGCAGAAAGGGATCTGATTGAACAGGTGGGCGCCATCCCACTGCCCTTTTACGGCATGGACAAATCCATTGCGGCGGTTTGCAATTTTATCACCCGGAATGGCCAGGAATGCGACAAGGGAAGTGCATGTCCATTCCGACACATCCGTGGCGATAGGACTATTGTCTGCAAACATTGGCTACGCGGTTTGTGCAAAAAGGGCGACCAGTGCGAGTTCCTTCACGAGTACGACATGACCAAGATGCCCGAGTGCTACTTCTACTCAAGATTCAATGCCTGCCACAACAAGGAGTGCCCCTTCCTGCACATCGATCCCCAGAGCAAGGTGAAGGATTGTCCTTGGTACAAGAGAGGCTTCTGCCGCCATGGTCCACACTGCAGGCATCAGCACCTCCGTCGAGTCCTTTGCATGGACTATTTGGCGGGATTTTGCCCGGAAGGACCCGCCTGCAAGCATATGCATCCTCATTTCGAGCTGCCCCCTCTGGCGGAGCTGGGCAAGGATCAGCTGCACAAGAAACTGCCGACGTGCCACTATTGCGGGGAGCTGGGGCACAAGGCCAACTCTTGCAAGCAATATGTGGGCAGTCTGGAGCACCGCAACAATATCAATGCGATGGATCACTCAGGACACTCGGGAGGGCATTCTGGCTACTCCGGACATTCTGGCCATTCCGAGGGCAACGAGGACAACCCCAGCAGTCACCACAGTCAGCCACATGGACCTGGTTTTGTCAAGGTGCCCACGCCGCTGGAGGAGATCACCTGCTACAAGTGCGGGCACAAGGGACACTACGCCAACAAGTGTCCCAAAGGCCATCTCGCCTTCCTCTCCAATCAGCATAGTCATAAGTAGGATCCGCTGCTCTGTATGATTAGATTATAAGAGAGTGCAGAAAATAAAGGTAGAAACGGGTGCTATTCTGGCCCCCTGAAGCCACATAGATCGAAAGATCCTTCCTGCCGCAGGTGATCGTTTTGTATATCCATTGATCATTTCAACCTTGAAACGAGCGTTGGCCTACATTTTCCGAAAATGTCTCATTAACTGCCAGTAGATTGTATTTTGTTATCAGCGAAATAAACTTTTTCATAAGAATCCAAACAGATATCATTTTTGGAAAAGATTTGGAAAGCAATGAGTTTACGAAAGTGGAACCTATAGTACTTAAAAATTTATTTATTTTGTAGCTTAGACAACATGAGATATTGAGAATAATAAGTGGAATAAGGTACCACATTTTATATATTATCTTATGTTCAGATGCTTAAATGTCATCGGTTATTTCAAAAAAAAACCTACAAGTTTTAGATGCGAAAAAATTATTATTACCGGAAATTAAAAACATAGAGAATATTTAAACTAACAAGTTTTTTTCTTCTTCGGCAAAATTAAAAGTAGAAATTTTACACCAGGGAAAAAGTCTACGTATCTATTGCAACATAGTAAATCTTATTTTACTCTTTCAACAGGAGGAGACTATTGTATTGGTAACAAATGGTGTATTTAATTTCTAATTTCTTCTAATTCAAATTTTACTTTAACCGCTCTTAAGATTTAGCCAAGTTCCTCACCACCTGAGTCGTTGCATATTTAGGCATTCCGAATAACAACGGTACTATTCAACGGTTGACCATCGGCCACACTGTCTGGATCGAGATTTCAACTCATCAACAATTGCGCACTAAGTTTTCCGTAAAAATAAACAGCGACGAACGTCCCGAGGAATTACAAATATAGAATACAGCCGAGCAGCCATGACAATTCTGGGAAAATTTCGAGGGGAGATCACGGACCAGGAGAAGGTGCCCCTGCCGATGAACCTCAACGACGAGACGCTGATGCACCATGGCTCCCTAATCGCAGTGAGTTTGCATCCCAGAGATATACCCTAATTTTTGCGCAATCGTTTTGCGAGTGGTGTCCTTGCGGGGTGTCCATGCCCACCCCTTTGTCCTTCGGTCCCCGAGTGCCACAAGTTTCACAGGGGGGGTGGCAGCAAATGCTGTGTTCCGAATCGGAATCCGAATTTACAGCCTCAGCAGCTCGCCCAGCAGGCCATCGATTTTTCCAGCTGGAATTCCCGCACTTCGTGTCCTTGTCCTCCCCATCCTCCCCCCACTTTCCCTTCTGGCAAATGACGTGTGCCCATTCACTTTCCTGGGCTTTCCCCGCCAAGGACTGGCATTTCTCGAGGTCAGCGGAGGTCCTCTTCCTGTTACTGGTGGAGATTGGCCCTGACAGCTCGGAAAACCCAATTTCGGTGGCAATTCCAGCCCTTTGTGCGCTGGTTTTGCTCTTTGGTCGCACACAGTGACCTCGATAAGTATGCGAACGTGGAGAGTATCCAAAGAAAGTCGTGTCTTATCAGCTGGCATTCATAAACACTCCAGCCATTGCAAGTTGTGAATGTATTTTGCTATCTCATAACGAGTTTTAACGATTATGCACAGACGGCAATCAAATGGCATTTTATAATCAAATTCTTAATTTAATTATTTACTTCTGCACGATAATTAAAATGATTAAAAGAACTGCATTTATATGTAAGACGTTATCAAAAATTATTTGGCTAACAACAAATTTTTGTGGCTTTAGCTTTAAAAAAATATTATTTACACTTAAATTTTATTTACTTTTTGTTTTATAGTATATTGTTGTATATATAAGTTTACTCTAACCAGCATGCAAATGTTTTCAATTGAATAAATGGTTGCAAGGGGAACTTTTTTGAGCTATCAAATATCTGAGAAATGCTTGCTAGCGGCGTAGTAAGCTACTGATATGAATTAAGCAATGCGATGCAGTTTTGATTGTGCTAGTCTTAATTCTGGAAATCCACATTTCTTACATTGCATCACATTCTGAGATTATGCTGAGCAAAATTAACTTCTAGCAGTGTTGCTTATAGAAGTTGAACTTTATACATTTGAGTCAACTCTATAATTCTGTTTCGCCTATGACTTATCGCTGTTTTTATGACTCCACCCTCTCGATAAGGGAAACAGGTATAATATAATATACCTGCCGTTCTAGCTTATTTCACTTAAATATTTTTTTTACAAAACGAATTTAATAGTTTGAAGAGTTTTTAATACAATCCCTAGCAAAGAAATTGATTCTTAATTTATGTCACAAAATCTATTTAGAATTGTTTCTTTTTTTTTAGATATAATAACTGGTACTATAATTGAACTTTTGTATATTCTTCCATGGGTACACCCCTTAAATACGTATAAGTTAACCTTACTCAAATCCCAATTTCTTATCCGTAGCCCAAGGTCGTTTACAGCGACAATGAAGCCGACACGGAGTCGATGGTCTTTAACCGGCCGCAGCACCATTGCCTGAAGTCCTTTCTGCTGTTTCTGATCGCAGTGGTCGTGATGCTTCTTGGTGTCCTGGGCGGATGGACCCTTTATCGCGTATACGCTCCTTCGCATGGCAGCATGAGGTATCACGCCCTCTGCGAGATTCCCTATCCGGAGGACTCGATGGAAATGGCGCGGGTATATCCACGTACCGAAGGACCCTTCGCCCTTAACTGGCGCTCCCTGCTGCCCCAGTTTGGACCTCCGATGTCGAACAGTGAATCCATCGATGAAAACTACTTCCGAGAGGACATCGAACTGGATGGCGATAGCGATGAGGAGGGATACGCCCGTGTGGATGTGCCCGACTTTAAGGATGGACGGCGTGGTCGTTTCATGCACGACTTCAAGGAGAACCAGTCGGCCATTATCGACACCACCACTGGCAGGTGCTTCATCATGCCTTTGGATCGGGATACCACCCTGCCGCCAACCAGCTTCGTGGATCTCATGAAGAAGATGAGCACTGGCTACTACAATATCGATACGGAGCGCGTTAGGCGGCAGATGCGCGTCGTAACGCCCCGCATCACCGATCTCTCGCTCATCTCGGAGCGAATCGCCAACGAGTGCTACGACATGAAGGTCTACATGATGGAAAAGTTCGTCTCGGGCAGTAAGTTTCCTCACTAGACTACTCTAGGTTTAGGGAACACTTGAGTATTTACCTTACCTTATCCCCTTTCTATTCCAGTTTCGAAGCGGTCAGCTGAACCTCTGCCCGATTCCGGCAAGTACGCCGAGTTTATGGGCAAGGGAGTCATTGAGTACGATTTGGCCAACATTGCCGAAGTGGAGGCCTACGAGGCAAATGAGGCTAACCAACGGGCCTGAGCATCCGAGGGCTCCCAGCAGCGACGTTTGGAGCACGATCTTTTAAGCTACAACACCCCATATGAATACACAACCTAAACAAATTATTACTTAGAATCGATTTATACATATAGCGAAGTGAAGGGAGGAGATCTGTTCGAAGAGCCATGCCTAGAAGTCTAGACCTGGTTTTCCACTGGTTAGCAGGACACACACCCCAATCCGGGTGGATATATCATCATTGGCCAGGTTAAGCGAATCATTGGCGACCCTAGTAAAGAAGCGTAACGAAAATGTACCTAGAACGCAATCAATGCGATCGACGAAATTGTGACAAATACGAGCAATGTATTAGCCTCGAGTGCGGAATAAAAACGGAAGAGATCGGTACAACACACACAGACACAGACACTGCGGCATTCCAAGTACATATTTTATATATATGCTCTTTAACTATTCTAACAATTAATGTATAGAACGGATTCAGATCGAAGCTATTTACATGCAAAAACCAAACCAAAAACCAACCAGAAAAAACCGAATGAGGAACGGAAACTATCAGCATGCGTCGAAAGACAGAGAAACAAATTAATCTAAATGTTCTTTAAAACTACTAAAATGTATTAAACGCGAATTTGTGATCTTTAGGCGATATCTTTTTATTGGGGGTTTAAACAAAGGCAATCTTAATCAGATTTTCGACTAGAATATATTTAAAACTAAACTATTCTCTATTTATAACAGATAGCTTCAATAACAATTTCTCAGTTTAATCTAGAAGTAAGCCTTGCACATAGCAATGGTGTGATCCACCCCGAAGGCCACTTTGGTAACCTTTCCATTGATGGCCGCTTTGAAGGGGAAGAACTGATCCTTCTTGTGTCCCAAACCCAGATGGCCGAATCTGTTCTTGCCCCACATAAAGAGATCCCCGTCCGAGTTGACAGCACCCATGTGAAAGATCCCGCATCCAATCGAAACAACGGTTGTTTCGTTGCTAAAGTCGTTCCGTCCAAATAAAGGTGGCAGAAGGTGCTGTGGCTTGGAGGTCTGCTCCACGAAGGGTCCAAAACCGAGGATGCCAAAGCCCCAGGTGTAAACCAAACCCTGATCATTGAGGGCCATGCAAAAGGATCCTCCTGCAGCCACCTGCTTAATTTTGCCAATGGATTTGGTAAGTTTGAGAGCTCTCGGGATATTAATCTGGGTTTCCGCGTGCTCAGAGTCATCCAGCTGTCCGTACTCCGAATTGCCCCATCCAAATGCATCGCCTGCTTCGTTGAGGGCCAAAACGCAATCCGAGGAACAGCTGAGACTCACAATTTTCTCCTTTTCGATATCCCCTCCTATGAGGGTTATCTGCCCGGCTGTGTGGTAATTTCCCTGCCCGGTTTGGCCATCCGCACCCCAACCACAGGTGTGAATCCTTCCGGTTTTGGTTAGGAACATGCTGTGATCCTGACCGCACTCCACTTGGACTATCTCATCCTCTTTTCCGCATATATCCTCCTGGGAAATTCTGTGGATCAGAGCGCTCTTGCTGTATCGCTCCTCATCGATGATGGAACGCCCACACTGTCCATAGGAATTGTTTCCCAAAGTAAATATGGTTCCATTTCTTGTCAGGATCACCAGATGAGCTCTCCCCGCCGACATGCTCTTCACCTGCATATCCTTATCGGTTTCTCCTTGGACTCTGGGTAGTTTAATGGCTGTGGGATAGATAATCACATCCAAGTTGGCTGGATCCGTGGGATTGCCCTTCACTTGGAAACCTAGTTGGGAGTCCGTGTTTAAGCCGCTTCCAAAAAGTGTCTCCCCATCTTCTCTTTTCACGGCGTAGGCTGTGAATCCGTAACCTGCAGCTACATCGGTAATTTCATTATTATTGGAGAATTGCAGCCTAGTAGGATGATGAACCATCTCCGTATAGCGTTCCTTCGCCTTTTTCACATTGGTTTGGAGGCCCAGTGCTCCGGTCTCCTGGAATCCCCAAACGTAAATGCGGTTCTCGTGGTTGTCCGTGATTTTCGGCGTGTACTCCTTGATTTTCGACTTGTCCTGGGCCAAAACAACCCTTTTGGCCTTGGCGGTATAGGATCTGCTGATCGCTAGACCAACTTTCCCGGTTTTCAGCATGGTATTACGGGTAAAGTCAGGTAATTCAATAAAAACAAACCGGAACAAGTGTTGCAAAGTACCACTGGTCACCTATCGATAGTTTAAAAACTCTACCGCTCCAACACCTTGCCAGCCCTGGTGCTCGCACAATCGTTATCGCTTGCTGCATATCGAAATCGGATGGGCGAGTGAAAGAAACGGCTCCGGCGAAATCATTAAAAAATAATTAATTTACCGCAAATCAGCGCTGCAAAAGTGTGCGAACAACTCGGTAGCTAAAGCAATTAACGCGTGAGGTGATCAGACCGCTGGAAAATCGTTAATTTTCCAGGATTTGTGTGTTTTTTCACTCGCCGCAGAAGCATATGTACACACACACGCGCACCCCCGCCCCAAACACACACACACTCGGATAGGTGTATTATAATTAAAGTTGTGTTTTAAAGTGTGTGTAAAGTGCAATAGCCCAGTGGAAAGTGGAAGTGAAATAGAGTGGTGTTCCAGGAGTTTTGAGTGTCTTAACACATGTCCCGTTCGCTGCTGGCTTTTCCAAGGGCTGGGGCTAAGGGTTAAGGATTGAGGATAAAGACACGGAGACGGATTCGCCGGATAGCGGATAAGGATACGGATAAGGAGTGCCAGGCGGAGAATCAGGAGGAATAGAGGAGTTGTCAATCGCTTCGTCTCCGGTAGGTACACACAAAATATTCGGCTGCTCCTTTTACTCCTGTTTGTAGCCTTTCTCGAATCTCTCATTTATCTCTCTCGGTTCTCTCTCGTCCTGCGCTCTCTCTCGCCACCTGGTTGTGCGTAGTCCTTTGGTCCACCACCCTCAGTGGGTGGCGGTGCTGCAACCCTTAACCCTCGACTTCCCATCACCTTTTTTTTGGGTAACCATGGTCGTGTGTTTACGGGTAACTGTGCCACCAATATTGCTAGTGTTGCGGAGTACCTATACAATTTTGCCTATAGAAATACCTGTTTTTTGTACCTTGACTAGAATGGAGATCTTTTGTTCCCCCAGAAGAATTTGCTTATCAATCAAAAGATCATCTTGAATTAAGAAGTACCAATATACTTTTGAGTTGATTGGCTATTGTTTCAACAAAAACTTCTATCAATGTATGTATAATCTTAACCTCTAGATTCTAGAAAAATGGTATATTTTGCACCTTACCAGGTATTTGTTTTTGCAAAAACAATACCTAGGTACAAGCGCGTAGCTTTCCCAACACTGGCCTCGAGTCCTGCCCTCTGACCTCACTCCCTTTTTGAGGACGAAAAGCCATCCCTCTAGCTGCCAAAAATCCACCACCTCGCAGAGATTTTGCGCAGCTTCTCAGGGCACGGCCGGCAATGTCAGACTCCCTCGGCAACAATCCCAAAAAATACAAAAAACAAAACCGAAAACGAAACCCCATTCAAATCCCATTCCCCTGCAAAAGCATATACTTAATAAACTTTGGGAATTGAGTTGCGGCCCAAGAGAATGAGTGATCTTATGTAAACAGGCTGCCCTTTGCCTCGAACGACACCAGATAAGACTGCTCCACGCAAATGGCCCACTTTCAGTTCCTTCTTTTCTCCCCATCCAAGTCGTAACTCAATGTTATAGACCCAAATGCTCTCATTTCGGGGGCCTCCAATTTGTTTGTGATGGTTTTCGGGGGCTAGTAGCCAACTCCCTCGCCTGGAACCGATCTTCGGCCCCTCTGTGGTGGGTAACAATGGAGGGCAAAGAAAACTTTCCGCCTCATAAACTCATGGGCTTGTCCCCCGAGCACGTGCAACTCTTTTATTTTACGGTGCTTCCATCTTTCTCTCAAAAAGACGAAATGTTGTCAAGAAAACAATAAACGAGTGCACGGGAAAAAATATATTTTCCATACAGTAATCTTCAAAAGACATACCATATGACTAATTTGGTTGGTAGACATCGAAAACATTTTCCAGTTTTTGTTTCAAACAACGGAATGCTTATAGATAAAAATGCAGCAATACTAATTCCATTTGACAATCAACCCAATCTTATCACTTTAGCTCAAGTTCATATCATATAACTAACATATGTATGTATATGATAGTTTAAAAGATAGTATGATAAAAAGTTGTTTACAAATTCTTTTTGCAATCAAAATCATGTTGCATCATGGTAGAATATGTAAGTAGATTTGCCAAGATTTAATTCACAAATTCCACCCGATTTCCGTGATTTTTATCACCAGTGTAATGTCAATGTCTTGGGCTTATGCAAGCGCAAACAATAACAAAACAATCGCCAAGCCAAAGAAAATCCAAATCCAACGGTGGTGCAGTTCAGTTTAGTTCATTGGCAGCCAGCCAGCCAAGCGTTTCATGTTTACCAAGGCCTCGTACCGCCCCCCTTATCACTGAAGCATTTGCACAAACATAATCTTTTTTGGGTTCTTTCTCCGTAGCTATCTGGGTTCGGTTACGGTTTCACTCCCCGCTTTCTCCGCTCGAAAACAGGAAAACACAAACAATAGCAGGCAGTGAATCACTTTGCGACCATTTCTACCACTTCCAGTTAAACATGGATTTTTCCCGCATATAACAAATCGATAGTAAAATAAACAGTTCAAGAGGAACTTAAATTTTCTTGGAATAATACTTTATAGTCACTTGTTCCCACATGAACAAAAACATTACCCTTATCTCAGGCCAAAGAAAAACCTTTGACTAATCGATTGTAAGTTAATCAAAACAAACGTTATCAAAACAAAATTATTATGACTATGACTTATTATTATTTAGACAGGAAGCTCACTAAAAATGTTAAATACTGACTAAGCTTGCCGTTTTGATCTTTTAGTTGCCATAGAAAAGTGAAACCAAAAATGGCTTAGACTCAAAGCCCCAGAAGAGCATTTTCTGAGCTTGACCGACACTTATTGATTTTTAATTATGCCAAGATGGCCCTTGGCTATGACATTGACTTTGATTTTGCTGGCTTGTTAACCTGGCCAATGAACTCGTGAGGCTCTTTAGAGATCTCTGGCTTGAACAACCTTCTTCGCCGCCCGCTAACTGCCTTATGTCACTGGATAAATCTCGGCCAAGAAACCAATTTCCCAACAATTCCCGTTCGTGACTCATTGCGGTCGAATGTATCAGTTGTTTTTTGCGTCGTTTCTGGCCTAAAGTGGAGGCGAGATATTGAGTCTGTTGGTTAGGTTTCCGCGGGTTCTGCAACCTCTTATAAACAAATCAATGGCCGATGGCCACTCATTCGTTTGCCAGGCAATTGGATTCAATTGAGTAGAGTCAGGCGGAGGTAACTTTCACTTGCACAGCTTTTAATTGCTCCGCAACTGGAATGGCCAGATCCCTCCTCAGTTGCCCGCTCCCTCATCATCATCACAAACACAAACACTCCACTCATTCATCTTCATCGCAGGCTCGCTGACCCCAAAAACAAACCTTCATCTATCGGCTAATTTTTGAGTTGGTTTCCTATTTAGTATTTCGTGTCTGAGTACTTGCATTGTATTTTTTAAGCTAATCATTTTCACGCTTCTTACCTTCTTGAGTGCTAAACAATTAAACCTAATTTGCATATATAATTTGCTCTCTTTTTCTTTCTTTTTTTTATTCATTTTGCGTTATTGTGTTGCTTGTGTTTACATTTGCCACGCCTACGCTTCCGCCTACGCTCACGCCCATGCCTTCGCCCCTGACCACGCCCCCTCAGCAATTATGCATTGGCTAGAGGCGATTTGCAGCAAGCTTAGAGTGCCAGCGACCAACTGCAACACATAACCAAACCATCAAAGACTACTTCATCAACTCCAAGTCCACCAACACTGAGCCACCGCCTCTTGCCTCCAGGAGCATCACCAGGAGCAGTCCCAGCTGGAGGAGCAGGAATCCCCCCGCGGCGGAGGAGCAGCCAGTCTGGAATGTTGGAACACCCCCAGCGGTTCGTGCGCAACATCCCCGACTCCTCAGCAAGCTCGCAGCAGTATTCGCAGCAGCATCCGCCACAGCTGCCGCAGCACCAGAATCTGAATCTCAACCAGAATCAGAATCAGAACCAGAATCAGATCTACCAGTACCGTCCCCAGGTGCCCGTGCCAGGATCACCTGCCCACCACCAGCGGCACTCGTCGCTCTCCCAGCAACAGCAGCTCCACCACCACCGCACCCTGTCCACCGCCTCCTCCTGCAGCGCCCAGCACAAAAGTGTGACCTTCGGACAGCCAGCGCTCGACTGCGGCGGCAACGGCAGCGGTAGCGCCAACGGAAGCGGTAGCGGCAACTCCTCCAGTGGCAGTGCCGCCGGCAACGCTGGAACCCAACCAATGGCGGGCAACATGAAGCACGGTGAGCTCCTCTAATCATGACATATTCACAGAAGAGCATTAGGAGTAATGACAGGATCTAGGGATCCCAGAAATTAAAATTCTCATAAATTGGCTGTAAATTCTTGCACCATGTGTACAGGAACTCATGCAATTCATTCTATGAAATAAAATCCATAAGTACAGCCATTAACAGAAAGTTACAGGAGTTATCACTATACCTAAAAAACGAACTTCAAACGTTCCTTGTAAAACTTTGTTCACCGAAGTAAACTCTTTCAATAAATAATAGTTTAGTTTGAAAGGCGACAAGTCAATACAAACTTTTTGAAACTTTTTTAGTCAATTACTAGAAATATTTACTAGATTATGAAGTTTGACACCTATTATCTTAGGCACGAAAATGTAGCGTTTCTTACTGTGTGCACTCTATACTTTTCTCAGAAACAAACCAAACTAATAGTTCTTATTTTTCCTCACCCCAGGCAAATCTCAGGAAGACGTCTGCTACGTGGTAGCCAAATACGACTATGCAGCGCAGGGTGCCCAGGAGCTGGATCTGCGCAAGAACGAGCGCTATCTGCTGCTGGACGACTCGAAGCACTGGTGGCGCGTCCAGAACAGCCGCAATCAGTCCGGTTACGTGCCCAGCAACTATGTGAAGAAGGAGAAGCCCTCGCTCTTCGACAGGTGCGTCAGCTTCCTGGCCCGACTAAACCTAAGCGTTCTTCTTGCTCTGATTTCAGCAGAATTAAGCCCTCCATTTCTGTAACTGTAGCCGTATACATAGCGTTCGAATTCCCGCCTCCCCTTTTGCTTTGGTTATCGTAATTTAACTTTTAACTGCTTTCGGCTTTTGTATTTTGTATTTCGAAACAACAAATTCGTTTTGCTTTCGTTGTCTTTCGACCACCGCCCCTGAATCTTAGAACTCCACTAACACCCAAACGAACTAGGGCTAGTCTAACCCACCTCAGAATCCCCCGAATAAATCTCTTTAAACTAAAGCTTTTTTAAAAGCCACCTCAATTCTGACCAGCAAATATCTTGATCTGATTTCTGTGCAGCATCAAGAAAAAGGTGAAAAAGGGCTCCGGATCAAAGACGCTGCCCAATTGTTCGCCTTCGCGCCAGATTGAGAGTCCAACCATGTCGCGCCGACTGCCCCCTGACCCCGCTGAGGCCATCGGATCGGCTGTGGTCAAGTACAACTACCAGGCTCAGCAGCCCGATGAACTATCGCTGACCAAGGGCACGCGCATCCTCATCCTGGAGAAGTCGAACGACGGCTGGTGGCGTGGCCAGAGCGGCAACTCCGTCGGCTGGTTTCCCAGCAACTATACAACGGAGGATTGTGATAACGACGGCGAGATCCACACCTACGCCATGGCCGAAAACGTGCTCGATATTGTGGTAAGTATGAATGAGCGATAAAAATAAATCAAAAGAGCCAATAGTCCTATTCACTGCACAGTTTACAACCTCCTTAAAATATTAACTAAACATTTTATTGATGTACTTCCCATTCATTATAGGTCGCCCTATACAGCTTCACGTCGAACAACGATCAGGAGATGTCGTTCGAGAAGGGCGATCGGTTGGAGGTCGTGGATCGGCCCGCCTCCGATCCGGACTGGTACAAAGCTCGTAACAACCAGGGCCAAGTCGGTTTAGTTCCACGCAATTATCTCCAAGAGTTAAACGACTACCTGGCCACGCCCTATCGCAATACGAGTGCCAGCGCCGGAAACGGAAATGGAGGAGGAAGCAATGGCGGAGCAGGAGGCGGTGTTGGCGGAGGAAGCGACTCAATGGAGCGGCGCAATGAGGGCAATAAGCCGGCGGCGCAATCCTCCGGCCAGCCAATTGAACGGCCAAACCTGGCGGGCAAGTCGTGGTATTATGGAGCTATCACCCGAAGCCAGTGCGACACGGTGCTCAATGGCCACGGGCACGATGGCGACTTCCTCATTAGAGACAGTGAGACTAACGTGAGTGAAATGCACAATGGAATTACCACAACATATCTCAAGCTTTCACCATAAAATTTTTGTAACTCCAGCTTAACAGCCAACCACTTGTAGTTCAAAAGACTAGCTCGAATTTCTTTTTTAGTGGTGTCACATAAATCTTAAATATAACCTAAAGATCTTTTGTCGAAATTCTCTTTTCTTTTATGTTTATTTTATTGCCGATCTATAGTTGTTGTGGTAGTTTAATCAGTTAACTAATTACAAATTAACTAATACTCCCTTTCTTGCAGATGGGCGACTATTCGGTTTCGTTGAAGGCCCCCGGACGCAACAAGCACTTCCGCGTGCACGTGGAGCAGAACATGTACTGCATCGGGCAGCGGAAATTCCACTCGCTGGACCAACTGGTCGACCACTACCAAAGAGCGCCCATCTACACGAACAAGCAGGGCGAGAAGCTGTATCTGGTGCGATCGCTGCCGAAGGCAAACGGCACGTAAACAGGATCCAGGATCAGTGCGGCGGAATCTCAGCATCCATATTACCCGTATTCAACAACACACATATGCAACACAAAGATATACCAAGGCTAACTTGTAGGCAGCTCAGCTCAGCGCGACGTGTAGTTCAATGTAGTTCGGTTCCGATATTTAGTTATGGACTCAGTTTTTGATTAGATCAGACCAACGTGTGTATATAGATCGGTTGGTTCAAAGCGACCCGTACATATAGCCACGGACAAATGACCTTTTTGTACTTTTATATAATTGAATTAACTAAATTACCGCTTAATTATCGCATTGGCTATGTTAACGAGAAAGAAAATCTAAAGAACTCATTATCGCATTCGATTCGAGCAATTCTAGATGTCAACATGCAATACATTTACATATTTACATACAATACATGTGCACATAATATACTATATTCTAAAGCAAAGTTGTAGCAGACTAAAATGTACACAAAGAAAAGAGGCCGCTTTTAATCAGAACACTCGAACATGTAATATGAGATATGATATGATGTCTATTATCCATGCGTTAACCGTAAGCATACTGTGTACGATCGTAATCGTGTATGTACATACATAGGGTCCTGGATCCAGGACATTCAAACCACACAGCCAGAGTGAGGAATACGCTCCTACAGTCATTTTTGTTATTTATCCATTTAATTATCGACTACGATATAACCACGCAAAACAAATACAATTGATATCTCCGGGCGGAGTCTTCCGCCGCATAATTATAAACATAATCTAATCGTTTGCTGGCGTGGAGAAGGAGGGGCGACTTACACGCGTATAAGCCATAATGTACAGTTGATGCAATGCTAACCTAGGCACTCTTTCATCACTAGATATACGTGTACTCTTATTTACGATTACGAGATAGTAGAACGCAGCGATTCCAGCTTTAACTTTTGTTTTTACTTATTGCTATTATTTGTTTTCCTACGTATACCATTACGATTATTATTTTGTTTTTATTTAGCTCTAGGAAAGTAATTAGCGAAGGAACGGAACGATAGGGAGAAGTGGCTGCCAGTTAAATGACTTTCAACTTTTCTTTCATACGCGAATTTTTAAATTATAAATCTATATTATACGAGTACGTAACATAAAACTTAAATAATTTATAGTAATTTAAACGATTGCTAAACCAACTAGTACTAAAGACGAAGAGAACAAACTAGAAATTATACCGAAACGGAAATGAATAAAAATACATTCAAATAACACATAAACCGACTGATTTTTGAAACTTACCCATTTGGAAAACCGGAGCTCTTGAAAAGTACTTTTTGAATTTTCTCGATTACTCTTGATATTCTTGAATCTTGAGCTGCTTTCCAAGTTTTTGTTTTGAGCTTGCATCCCCATCATTTATAGAGCTAATCTTGCGCCCCAAATTCTTATTGCTTATTACTTTTACTTCCCTACTTTTTATCGTTGATTCCTAAAAGTATGCCAATAAATTCAATCATTATTTTGAAATTTTGAGGTTGGTTTAACCAATACTACAACGATCACAGGGGAAAAGTACAGAAGGAATTCAAAGTAAACAGGTTTAGCGTTCTTATTTGTTTTTATTGAAATTTTCGTAGTTTTAAATAACTTTAAGGCTTCGATAATGTTTGACACGTTAAGGCTAAAAATGGAAAAATTCTTGCTTCTTATCTGGACATGGACATGTGAGCAGTGAATTGAGTCATGGATTCGGTTCGATGGATGGGTGGGAGACTGGTGTTAATGGAGGTATTACACGGGGCTTACAATCAGACAGTATATGTACAAATGTCTGGGCCGTTGGTGCAACCAAAAAGGTTTGACTCGCAAGTTGAGCAATCTACACGCCCGATATCGCACGTACTAATAAATAAAATTAGCACACGGAAAGCAGACTATTAGCAATGAAAACAAGAAGCAATTCATTAGGTACAAAAGCATATTTGTATATATCTGTATCTGTATCCGTATATATATATAGTAGTACGTTTTATATATAGTTTTATAATCTTATTAAGGCCACACAATCAATAACTGACAGAGTTCTTATCCGCAACGAAAGTGCTAAAGGGGACAAAGACAAATACGAGGACAGACAAAACAAATATCAGAGAATCTGGGCCTACTGCATCCTCCACTAGGATTAGGATTAGTAGCTATGTTAGTGGTTAATGTGTTTTATGGGCGCTCGGTACAATTAGAAAGTTCTAGGGGCAAACGGCAAATACAAATATCCGTATAGGTAAACGTTAGAGTAGAGTTACCATGTAAAATAATATATTAACGCCTCAGCCCGCCGTATCCTTCCTCCAGGATAAGCGTCAGCGTGGAGCCTTCGGGGTATACATATTTGACATATGTACACAGAGAGTGCTCTCCGGCGTGTATTTTGTATATATAGATTAACGCTATTGTTCGTAAAATGGACTAATTTCGGTTCGGTTCCGCAGCTCCTCCACTTTTTCTGCTCTTTGTTCGCTGGCTCAGTGCCTCTGCCAAGTGGCGAGTGGCGAATTCTCCCCGGTTGAGTCTCATAAGAATGGATTGTTGGTGTTCATGGCGCCACTGGCCTGTGAAAATAAATAAAGAAAGTGAATCTTTAGCAAACATTGATCCAGACTTAACCAGTCCTGGCTGGACATCCACCGACTGTCTGGATTTAATGTGACAAGAGAATGTGAGAAACAGACAACCTTTGGCGTTGTTTACGTGTAAATTATGGCTTGTTTGCTTGATTGATATTTGTTCTTAGAGAACTACGCAGCTTTATGATGAAATTATTTTCAACAATGGTTTGAATCACGTTTTACACTCTAAATTGGTATGTCAAGAACGAGGGTTTTGAATTTAGCAATAAGTCCAGACAGTAAACAGTGTAGTAAGTAAATTCCGTTTCGACACTCACTGCAAAGGGATTGTTGGCCATCACTGGAGCTGGTTGCATGCTGCCAAAGCCGCAGCCGTTGGGCAAGCCTTGCGAGACGGCAAACCCGTTGTTGTTGAAGTTAAAGAAGCTCTGTTGCTGGTGCTGCTGCTGGAGAAGATGATGCCCCATCTGCTGCTGGGGACTGCTGCCGTAGGCGTTTGGTATGAGCGTCACCTGGCCATAGAGATTCGGTTGCTGCTGTTGCTGCTGGAATGGATTCACCACGTGGCTGCTAAGCTGCTGTTGTTGCTGGCTCTTGAATGGATTTGGATTGTTGTTGAGGGCTGAAAACAAGAACCCAATTAGCGAGGGCTACAAACAGAAGAGCCGTGTGAAGGACTCACCGCCACCAAAGGCATCTGTGGCCTGCCCGTTGCCATTGGTGGGCGTGGGCGCCTCTGTGACGCTTTCGCTGGCCTTCAGTTCTCTCAGTTGCTCGTCGAGATCCTTAAGAGCAGCATATCGATCCTCACTAGGAGCCATGGCCGCACTTCCACCCTTTGGCGGACTTGTCGCATGGCCATTCTGCAAAGGTGCACCTGCAACATAATCACACCAATTAATAACTCCAGTTAAGATTATATATTGATTAATTAAAAACCAAACACAAACTAAACACAGCATCAGTAAAAATAACGAGCCAAATGCAACAGAACTGTAAACACAAAACTCAACTGAACTGAAGTAATCAAACAACTTACTCCACGTAAAGAAATCATGAAAATTGGCATTTAAACTATTCATCTCTTGATCATCTGTCTGATCTTCTTGGGAACTGTTTGAGATAGAGCTGAACAACAAATACGAATTGGAGGGCTTCTCTGGAGTATTCCGAGGATGGGGCTCCTCATTCACTAAGTAGGGCAGAAAGGGATTCGTGGGCGAAAGAGGCGGAGTGCTATTGAAAAAGGAGTAGCAACCCAGCTCCTCCTGTTGCTGCAAAGACTCCTGCTCCTGCGCCTCTATTCGCATCTCCTCCTGCCAGAAGTTCCACGCCGGCTCTGGTTCTTCTTCGACTGTTGGCAGTGGTGATAATACTGCGGGAACTTGAACCGAAACTTGAGCAAACCCTGAAGGAGATTCATCGCAATCGTCAAAGGGATCGTGAAAGCCCCGCCTGCTCCAGTCGCTGATCCAATCGTGAAAAGTTGTTGGAACTGGATTCAGCCAAACACAGTAAAATGTTAGAGTGGATATGAACACTTCTTGGTGTAGGGTGCTCAAAGTAGAAGGCTAGCGAAGGGCGCGAAGCGAGTTGCAGGATCTTACAGGAAGCCAAAGCCATTTTAATCAAGCAGCGGGTGCAGGAGAAAATGTATGTATTCGAGTAACTCTTTTTATACCCTTGCAGAGGGTATTATAATTTTGGTCAAAAGTGTGCAACGCAGTGAAGGAGACATCTCCGACCCTATAAAGTATATATATTCTTGATCAGGATCACCTCCTGAGTTGATATAGCCATGTCCGTCTGTCCGTCTGTCCGTCTGTCCGTCTGTCCGTCTGTCCGTCTGTCTGTCCGTCTGTCTGTCCGTCTGTCTGTTTCTACGCGAACTAGTCTCTCAGTTTTAAAGATATCGAATTGAAACTTTGCACACACCCTTCTTTCCTTTGCACGCAGTATATAAGTCGGAACGGCCGGGATCGGCCGACTATATCCTATAGCTGCCATATAACTGAACGATCGGAAATGCCATAACTTTGGTGTTTGTAAAGTTAGGAAGATGGGATTTTCTATGGGTTTTGTATTTGGCTAATCAATCCGACATGCCGAATTTCATAAGGATCGGCCGACTATATCCTATAGCTTCCATATAACTGATTGATCGGAAATGCCATAACTTTGGTGTTTGTTAAGTTAGAATGTTGGGATTTTCTATGGGTTTTATATTTGGCTAATCAATCCGACATGCCGAATTTCATAAGGATCGGCCGACTATATCCTATAGCTGCCATATAACTGATTGATCGGAAATGCCATAACTTTGGTGTTTGTAAAGTTAGAATGTTGGGATTTTCTATGGGTTTTATATTTGGCTAATCAATCCGACATGCCGAATTTCATAAGGATCGGCCGATTATATCCTATAGCTGACATATAACTGAACGATTGGAAATGTCATAACTTTGGTGTTTTTAAAGTTAGGAAGTTGGGATTTTTTATGAGTATTAAGAATGCATCATATGAATAATTTTGGAGAATATAATTTACAGAGTATTCTGCAAGGGTATATCAACTTCGGCTCCGCCCGAAGTTAGCTTTCCTTTCTTGTTTAACTAAGGTTTTTACAAAATAAATTTAATCATGAGAGCTAGCAAAAATTGACTTGTAAAAGAAAGGACCTTTATTCCAAAGTTTACCAGGGCACTATAATTATAATTATTATCAATAATTCCGAAACTTAATTCCAACATTAACATTGTAGACCCACAAAAGCTATTTCCCGCTTTGCATAACAACTATGTACTGAATTTAAAAATCAATCCCATTCACGTATTCTATATTTTACAACATCATATATCTCTCCTAGATGAATCTGTATAAATTTGCATTTTTAAAATTCAATTTCTTAGGCCAAACATTGCTATAAATCATTCATAATGGAAATTAATTGAATAATGATTAAATCTGAAGCTCTTTTTCAAATAAAGTGAGATTCAAAAAAAGATAACAGAACTCATTTGGTGAAAACGAACTGCATGGAAAGGAAAGTCAAGCCTAACGAAATGGAAACTTACCCACTGCATTGAAGATGGGTGCGTGATCAAAGTCCGCAAAGTTCTCTGTGCCCTTGTGACCATTGCCATTGAGAAGCTGCTGTTGTTGCTGCTGGAGATGAGCTGCCCGGAGGGGCTGCACCTTGGCGTAGCCATTGCTGGATCCCACCGAGGAGACGGAGGACACAGCCGGCGATCCTGGAGAGCGCGCTGATGTGGCATCGAAAATGTTGGCCGAGCCAAAGTCGGCCACAAAATCGGAGTCCGCACCGAAGCCATTACTGGCGCAGCTACTGGTGTCCGAAAGAGCTCCGGTGGATGTGGAACCGGCACTGTTAAGGCTGCTCAGCCCTCCACTCAGACCAAATGCATCGTGATTGTTGTTTTGGCTGTTGTGCTGATGATGATAATGTGGCCGGCTGATAGAAGAGGAGGAATTCCCGGAGGAGCTGTTGGATGAGTTAGCTAGCTTCTGCAAGCCATTGGCCGTTGTCCGCTGGGCAGCAGGCGGTGTCAGATGGATGCTGGCATACCCATTGTGGTGGCCATTCTGTATGTGATTCGTCACCGGAGCAGACGACTTTAGGTTCACCGCATTGGCCAGGGACTTCAGCGGACTGGCCGGCTCCAAATAGTACCGCTTGCGTTCATACTTGTCCATCATCAGCTCACGCTGCTCCTGCTGGTGCACAGCACGCTTCGGATCCCACAATCCCAGCCATGTTTTCGCACACAGCTCGTTGCCATGGGTGCGCAGGAAGTCGATCTCGTCCTGTGTGAATGTGGCCATCGATATGGATTTTACCCGATGTGGTGGCGTTAAACCGCGTCTGCAAAATAGGACAAGCAAATTGTATTGAAAGGGAAATAAATGACCATGTGAAACAGACTTCAGTTAATTAATTTCAGTTTAAGCTATAAGATATAAAAAATCAAATTAAGAATGCAACACTATTTGGCTAGCCTCCTTAATTCCACAAAGTAGTACGTTTCCATTTCGGAAATTGCTCAAGATTTGTCCCCACTTTGTAGCACATTTCTGGTCAGGTGGCGATGGAGGTGGTTGCTTGACCCACTTGTACCCACCAGAATGACCCGTCAAATGGGCGTTCAATTTCAGTTAATTGCGCAAATTAATTGCGCTGGCCTTGGGGCCGAAAGCAATTGGAGCACTTTGGAGTGCCCAGAACGGCATGAAAAATGAAACCCATAAACAAACCGAAGAGGCGCTTTGGCTGGTGGAGAGTTTTCCAGCAAATTCGCCTCGCACCGACGGCTAATTTCGGTTTTTCACGAATTTCCCGAACGAAACGAGTACACACGGGCAGCAGCAACAACTTGGCCACAACATGGCAACAGCAACGGCAAAAACAGCACCAAAACAGAGCCAAATATGCATTGCAAGGGGAAGCAGAAACTGGACGTTTCACATGAACGCTTCGGTGGCTCCAGTTGGCTATAAGTTGTTGGTAGCTGGTTAACTCGTTGGTGCACGGAAAAAAATGTTAGAACAAGAGGAACCGGTGTAGCGATTATAAGATACCTCGCACTTTTGAATATTTGAGCAAGATACCAAATATGACACTGTAACACAATATGATTTCCCAACTTATTTCAACTTAAACTGATCAAACGCTTGGTAATTCCAACAAATATAATGAAATGGTTCATGTTTGTTTATATTGTTCGTTTTATCATAACCATTCCTTAAATATTTATCTGGATATTTATATGATGAAATCCAATAAATATACCCCTGCTCAGAGGGGTATCATAACCGGCAAGCTGATGTGGTACATGCAACGAAAATTCTCGAAGCTGCTGATTACTGCTGATGGCATTCCAAAAGACGTCCTTTGTCATCCCATCTTGAACATTTCCGAGCTGCTAATGCCCACGACAAAAAGAAAATAGAGGAGGGGAAAAAGCGGAAGTCTGTGAGTTTCTTACCAGAAAACAATCAACTCTCAGTGAAGTGGATCGAAATGGATTTAATGGAGGCGGAGGGTATAGGAGTGGAGGAACACCTCCTCCAACGGGTGACCCGTAACCAACAGAGCATAGTTGAAAGCAGCTGAGGACGACATCCGCCGGCGGCTAAATGATCTGTGAAGCTGCAACTGCCACGCGGAAAACAACAGGAGGTTGGCTGACCTTACACGGCTTGTGAGCCACCTCAAAACATAAAGACCACCGCTACACAGGCAGAAAATAATTAATCTGCAACTTCATTTGAACTATTTAGTAGTTAAAAAGGGTCAAGTTCGAATTATCAATTCATACACTTTTTTCTTTGTGTGTATAATCTTAGTAACCAGCACTTGACACTATCTTAAACAAGTCTTGAATTAGTTAAGCATAATTCGTAAAGTGATGATCACATAAATGAGTACTTGAAATGATAACCCTCTACTTATAATCACTCAAAACTGTTGGCCTAAATAGATTTTCTTTGAATAAATAATCAGAGTACAATAATCTTGTGCGTAATCTTACTTTTTTGCCATATCTAAAGTTATTTTAATGCTTTTAAAATACATGAAAAGCAAGTAGCTGTGAAACACTAAACCGGTGCACGAAAATCGTTTTTAAATTCGGTTTTGCCTCTTAATTTATGCTGTTTTAATCCTATTAAAATATCAACTTGGCTTTTGCCGGATTAAGGCAGCAGTACGTGATGTTTTTTTGTGTATGGCAAACACCACTCAAGTGGTGCCCAGTTTTCCGAGTGGCCACATCCCCAAGAGCACGCACAGGCAGTTCGTTAGAGGATTGGTGGAGGCGGGAGAGGGTGGATGTGGCAGCTGTAAGTGGCAGAAACAAAGACCAAGGCAGAATAATGCGCCATGTGGCAGTGGCTATTTTTGAAATCCAACCACACGGCGGAGAAAGTGAAAGTTGCCTCCACACAAAATGTGGAAACAGTGGCGGCAATAGGAGGCCACGCCCACCGTTTATGGCGTGCATTTGAAACGCTTAGTGAAGAGGGAAAATGGGTAGGGGTAATTGACAATCACAGCCGTAATCACTGCAAATTTCCATGCAGCTGAGGCTTTTTTTAATGCGAAAAAACCCAATAAGCGAGAAGTGCTATTCCACCCTCTTTACATGCGGTTCTACGAAATAATTCAGTTAGAAACTATTCACACAAACTGCTGAAATAAAAACAATTTAATGCAAAACACGAAAAACAAATTAGGTAAAGGTTTTCAGCAGGCAATTTAATTTAAATTCTCAAATGCAAATCTGCATACTTTAAATACACAACTTTAAATTCTTTAGTGAAACCAAAAGTTATTTAAACATTATATTGACCAATGCTTTCTTCTCAAAGAGTTATCTTGCATTTCACGACTTAATTCGCTACGGCGAATTGTTTAAACAGGATGTACGAAATCAATAATCTAGGTCTCAGCTGTCAACTTTGCAGTGCAAACTCGAAGCCCCTTAGCGTTGTGTTCAATATTAGCATTGCAATGCTAATTGTTATACGAACCGAGCCCAGCGAACACACATCCCATTCGAGTACCCCATCAGTATTCAGTATACACCCATCATCATCAGAGGAAATCTCCTCTAGCCACAGCTACATGCTGAAAAGAACGAGAATGGCAGAGTGCCATGCTAATTGGGAGTCAACAAAGCAGCGCTGGAACTCACAGCTGGAAACGGAAAAGTGTGTCACACCTCTCAGGTCATGACAGGGCATAGGGCAAAGGTGAATGGGAATGGCATAGGGATTTCTCCCTTTTAGGGCAGAATGAAAGAAAACGCCATATAAAACAGCTATTTATTTTAATAGATAGCCTTAGCAATATTTAAAAGCTAGTATTAATTAGATAGGTCTCTCCTAAGAGAAATGAAAATTTGATCTTCCTTTTAAGAAAGTAGGAGCTGAATGAGGTGACCACCAATAAATGAACTTGCCCATTTCTTATTACCAATTACCTGCTTTGAGTGTAATGGAAACTTAAATGGATGCATTTAGGCTAATAGGCTGGGAATTGCTTGAGATTTGATGGACTATTTTGTGGAAGGTTACCACAGGTTTCACGTGCCCATACGACGCGTTAATTATGCTGAGTTGTGTGACCCCCTTAATGTCACCCTATACCCGCCGCCTGGTGTTTCCACATAGGCTCCGTCGCCGGATGAGATGGGTCCCGCGATCTGAGATCTCGGATCTCGCCGGTTTCGGTTTCGCTTCGTGCTTGGCACAAGTGGATACAACGAAAATTAAAACAAACACAGAGACAACAGAGACAACCGACTGTAGTGCAGATAAACTAAAAGCTTAGCTTACAATCACTCACACTCTGGCATTTTACGTTTGCTACAAAAGTGCAAAACTCGTTTTTTGCGCATTTTGCGCACTCAGCGTGAAAAAAATCAACTCAGCTGAGCTCTCCACTCAAACAAAAACAAAAGTAAAACTCGTTGCGGCAGAAAAATACCCAACCGCCATTATGCATAGACAACAAATACAATGAGTACAGAGACGAGTACATCGAACAATCCACGAAATATACAAACCAAAATCAAATTGGAATCGGAATCGGACCTACCACATAACATTTAGCTTTAGTTTAGCTTTGTGCAAAAAGAAAAATCAGCGAAAATAACCAAAGGCACAAAGGAGAAAAATAAACAACTGCAAAGCACGGCGGACTAAATTATGACAATGAATAACAACTTAAGTATGGACAGCGCCTCACACATGAACTTTTGATTTCGCATGAACCCAGCGAAAACTCGTTTGAAAGTTGGGGATACCCTCGTTATTGATAACAAGGACCCCAAATGGCAACAATAACGTTTATAGTTAAACTAACAACCAATAACTGATTATTTTTATTGACATTTGGTCTGACACAATATTCGAAAACAACCATATTTTTTTTTTATTCAATGCTCAACTAGGTAAATATTTCCACCGCATTTTTTTATAAAATTATCTTTGTAAATACATTTTTAGATTAATATTCCCCAGCTAAAGCGCTGTGTTGATGTTTTCCATAAATTCTAATTAAGTTTCGACTCCTTTTTATTTCTAAATATTATTATTTTGGTTTAAATATATTCTTTCATTCACCACTTCAATTGCTGTTTATGATGTGTTAAATAAATTCTTCAAAACAAACAACACATTCATTAATTTGGCTGCACAGCAAGTTTAGTACCACCATTCACTTCCCCTCAGCGAGGGTATGCAAATAAAAATACGAAACAAAAAACAGAGACTGAAATAAAAACAAAACCGTCTACGCAATTTCTTGAGTGTAAAAAACATTTGTTTTTCATTCCCCATGAGTCACGGGTCCCAAAAAGTCGTGGGGTTCAAGAGCGGTGCCAATTTTAGTTTAAATATGTTTGTTTACACTAAACAAAAAGTGATATCGAACAATTAGCACTTTGGTGATTTTTCATATTATGTTGAACAAGATAAACAATCATAACAATCTTACATATTTGTTTTTTTTTAAAAACAATATAATTAATTGAAATATTTTTTGATTTTTTCCTGTGTAAGGGGACTGAGAAAAGCAATTAGTCAATTTCAAAAGAACTAAGGGCATACAGACGTGCGCCATTTCGTTTGGCAACCGAAAGAGGGTTTCAGGGAGATTCAAAAAACGCTGATGCTGGGGCCACTGAAACAGTTATTACAGTTAGTTATGACCACTCCTCGAGCTAATTTAATTTTTATGGCACAACTCTCTAAGCCAAACACTTTCTAGGTTTTTTTACGATTTCAAAGCGGTCTTAATAGCTTAGCTTGAATGCCACTTACGAAATAGCCCAAAATGGAAGGCTATTATCATGCCAATAA